CAGATTATGTAACCTGGTTTACTTTTCCAGCAATCAAATTAATTAAAAATCTAAATTTACTGTTAATACTGCTCATGATATGTTTCATTACCATGTTTTGTTTTGTTTTGAATTCATCATTGGAAAACATGACAAACGATTTTTTTTAATTTTGCATCTATGTGGTACATACATTTCTAGGAAATGCTATAGCACAGCTACCTGCCTCTTGTATTCTCTTATGTTTATGGATAAAGTACAGTACAAAGCATATAGGTACATGATTATGGTATGTATGTGTATGTGTGAGTGGCAGTAAATAATAATTGATATTTCTTTCTTTGTACAATCTTCAGAGCCAAAGATGCTCTTCAGACATGCCAAGTGCTTCTGGCCCCCCAATTTGAAGACGATGTTTTGAATATACCGTTTGCGGGGTTAGGTCATTTCAACAACCAAGTCATGTTTGCTAGAATCCAAGATGGTGAACATGTCAATACTTTGTATGAGATAGCAGGTAAGTCAGTACTACTTACATGTCTATAGAGGGCGTTGTATTTGAGGGTTTGGTCATTTCAACAACAGTCATGTTTGTTAGAATCCACTATGTTGAATTCATATGTAGATTGTAAATCACTATGGTGTATTCATATGTAGATTGTAAATCACTATGGTTGTATTCATTATGTAAGATTGTAAATCCACAATGGTTGTATTCATATGTAGATTGTAAAATCACTATGGTTGTATTCATATGGTGACTTGTAAAATCACTATGGTTGTATCATGTGTAGATTGTAAATCACTATGGTTGTATTCATGTGTAGATTGTAAATCACTATGGTTGTATTCATATGTAGATTGTAAATCACTATGGTTGTATTCATATGCAGATTGTAAATCACTATGGTTGTAATTATATGTAGATTGTAAATCACCATGGTTGTATTCATATGTAGATTGTAAATCACTATGGTTGTATTCATATGTAGATTGTAAATCACTATGGTTGTATTCATATGTAAATTGTAAATCACTATAGTTGTATTCATATGCAGATTGTAAATCACTATAGTTGTATTCATATGTAGATTGTAAATCACTGGTTGTATTCATGTGTAGATTGTAAATCAAAAGATGAATGTACAGCCTGAATAATGGGTCACATGACTAAGAATAGTAAAATATAGTATTTTCATCCAAAACTACCTCTCCCAACCTCTATGCTGAGAGATCAACTGAGCATGCTCAGAATAAATAATTAGCTTAGATTGTAATGCTAGGGTTTTTAGTGATGTCGTGACCTGGTCATGACCTTGATCATAACCTTGATCATTCCCTGGTCATGACCTTGATCTGAGTCAGTGAGAGATGGGTTGTACCATTGCCAATCTCAGTGGAATCTGTAAAGGGGTGCCAGGGCTACATTTTGTTGGGAATTATAGAGGTGATACTGAAACAAACCCAGATCCTGGTAATACACAAAGACCTGAATTAACAAGGAAGTCAAGTTGTTACCCCTTAAAGGTACATCCAAGGTTTACTCAGATTTATGAATGCAGTTTCTGGAGCATGTATGAGACATAGTTTGGTTGCACTTGCGTTCTCTGACCCGGGTCAATGAAAGTTTTCAGTTATCAGATTAAGAGTTGTACCCACATAGAGTACATGTTAATTCAATTGTTGCAAATGTTCCATGTATTATTTTAACATAAGTATTTTATAATTAAATATTGGGAACTGTGACATTCATGTCTTGTTATTTTTATTTTAGAATTGGTCGAAAAAGTCTTTAATCAATACAACATTGTATCGACTGGTGACAGGGGTTTTTAAACCCCACTTGACAGTGATGAAGTTATCACGTGCACCAAGTCTAAGAAGAAAAGGAGTTCGTCGGATAAAATCAGAATATTATCGAAGTTTCAATAGTGAATATTTCGGCTCTCAAATTGTGAAAGGTCTTCAGCTGTGCTCAATCAATAAACCCAAGCTGGATGATGGGTATTACTGGAGAGCAGATGAAATTTATTTTGATGCAGGTAAACCTTTTAATTCATTCATTATTCATTATTCATTACTGTAAAATACTTCATTTTAGCTGGCATTAATGTTTGATGAAAAGTTCTCGGGGTTGTTTTGTCTA